TTTTGGCAAGGACACAGGGGCCCCACGATCCCCTATTGCCCGGGGGCTCCATGAGTTGTCAGTCCGCCCCTGCACTCACATGATAGTGTGTCTCCACTGACACAAGCACAAACAGTATATTCTTATAAAACCGTCTCCCTCCAACCAAAGCTAGTGGCCGCGGTGCTATCTGCGATATATATTTTTAGCTGGCTACTTCCAGCTTGAAAGTGGCAGCGCGGCCATTGGTTGATGAGACAAATAGATTCATTTGAAAAATAGATTGATATATATTTTTTGATATAGCATTGCGATTCAAATATTTAATTGGGTGTATTCATTAGTTAAATACTGTGGTGCAGTCAATCAGTATGTTGGTTATAAGTGCACAAGAGCCATAGTGAAACAATGAATAGTAATCCTTTCCATATTAGGGTAGTTGCTTTGTTTTTCTAGTATAAATTCTTGTAATAGGATTGCTAATTTAAATTAACTTAATACTTCTAGATTGTAAACTCCAAGGAGCAGGGCCCTCCTATCCCTCTTATATTGAACTGTATGGTTGCTGTATTGTCTCCCGTTATATTGTAAAGCGCTGAGCAAACTGTTAGCGCTATATAAATCCTGTATAATAATAATAATATTGATTTAAATTATTTATGCCCTGCTTAATTAAAGTGATACTAAAGCTCCAGTGTTTTTTTTTCTTCATTAAAATAAGAAACATGGTATACTTATTTGCTCTATGCAATGGTTTTGCACAGAGCAGCCCTAATCCTCCCCTTCTCAGGTCCCCTGCTGGCCCTCCTGGCTTCTTCCCCTACCATAGGAAGTCGCCTGCTGGTAGGTCCCCTGCTAGCGCTCCTGGCTCCTTCTCCCACCATAGGAACTCGCTTTCTGTGGTGGTCACTCATGTGGGCTCGCTCCTGAGCCAAGCTGCTTGCATCTATTCAGTCTATTCAGACACACAGCCAGGCTTAGCCCTGCCCCCTGCTCTCAGCCAAGCCTGTGAAAACAGGCAGAGACAGCATTGGACTGAGTTCAGGCTCAGGTGAGTATTTACAGGGGCTTTGGAGAGAGTTTCATGTAAAAGTTTTTTTACCCTAACACAGAGAATGCGTTAAGGTAAAACAACCTTTTAACTTTACAACCACTTTAATCCTTATATTAACCACTTCCCATCTGGCACATGTATATAAACAGCCTCCTCGCTTCCCTGCTGGGTCAGGTGGTTGTTTATAAACGGCCTCCCCGCACCCTGCTTGTGCGCGCTCCCCGGGAGCACGCAGCACCGCGATCCGGTGCCCGCCGTGTCCTCCGGACACAGTGAAACACCGATCGTCGGACAGGACCTCTGTACGAGGTCCCGATCATGTGATCACTGATTGGCCAATCAGTGATCACATGAATAGTAGTAAGCAAGTTGTCACTTCTGACATCAGTGCTTACTACGTGTGAAATCTGTGAATGATCACAGAGATCACATAGTACAAGGCTATTCACAACAGTCTTGTACCTTGTGACAAGCTGTGATCAATCACAGCTCACACAGTATTTCTCAATGGCTGAAATAATGCAGCCAGAGAGAAGGAGAAATGATTGCTTTTACAGCCTTTATGGGTGTAAAAGCAATCAGTGAAAACAAAAAAAAAAAAACCTTCATCACCCCCCACAAGTTGTACAGTGTCACTAATATGGTGACACTGTACTATGGTGACACTGTAGGGGGACAGTATGTTAAAAAAAAAAAACAACTAATAATATAAAAAAATAAAATAAAAATGTAAAAACAAATTTTGAAAATTACAATTTTTGGTTATAAACTAATTTGGGTTTTTTCTTTTTTTTTTTACGAAAATGATAACTGAATAAACTTTGGCTAAGATTTATGAAGAAATATTATTTGTTTGCAAAATTTTATAAGAAAAGCACTTTTTGCTAAATTTTTGGACTTTTTCATTTATATAGCAAAAAAAATTAAAATCCCAATGGTGAATAAATACCACCAATATAAAGTTTTATCTGTCTCAAAAAAATGCTAAAAATTCATATGGGTACAATGTTACATGACCACGCAATTGTCATCAAAGTGTGATAGCACTGAAAGCTGAAAATTGGCCTGGACAGGAAGGGGGTAAAAGTGTTTGGACGTGAAGTGGTTAATATGGTACTCAATGTCCATAGATGCAAATGTGAGTTGTTAAAGTTTTATATATCATGGGGCAGAAACAATTGAGTACTGTCCATGATTATGACAAATCACAGCTTGAACTATCTTGCTTTGCATGTAATGAGTCTATCTCATATATTAGTTTCACCTTTTAAGTTGCATTACTGAAATAAATGAACTTTTGCACAATATTCTAATTTTTCGAGTTTCACCTGTACAACCTTGCAAACAGACAAAACAAGAAGTCTCAAAAACGCAGCCACACTCTTGAGCATCTGTGGCGTAAGACTAAGTCTCACAAAGCTTCAACCAATAAAAAACTGTCCTCCAAAAATACAATTCTTGACTCCACACTGCCAAGCTGACCTAACCTAACCAACCAAATTGCTCTCTTCATTCCTCCCAAGATCTCCTGCTCTCTAGTTCCCTTGTCACCTCCTCCTATGCTTTCCTTCAGGACTTCTCTAAAGCCTCTCCCATCCTGTGGAATTCTCTACCTCAATCTTTCAAACTCTCTTCTACTCTGTCCACTTTTAGGCGATCTTTGGAAACTTTTCTCTTCAGAGAAGCCTATCCTGCCTCAACCTAACAAATGTACTTTTATTTTCTCCATCAGCTCATCTCCCACAGTTATTATGTTTTGTATCACTTGGCCCTCCCCTTTAAGAATATAAGCTCTAACGAGCAAGGCCCTTTGAATCCTCCTATATTGAATTGTATTGTATAATTGGGTGCCAACTTTTCTGCCCCAATGTTTTTGGAAACTACCTCCTGGTATGATCTGTTCGCAAGGTACGGCTGCCCAGGGGCCTGGGATGGGTGTCCTTAAATTTGTGGGATCAAGACTTATCTCCTACCCTCTGTCGGTAACACGCCTATAGGTTGTACTATTATCCTGGTATGTACGTGTTCGTCATATTCCCCTACATGTGTACCACCACAATCTAGCATATTTCTATAGAGGTGTTTCTACCTTAAGATTTTGGTTATCACAATGACGTGGTGGAAATAGGTGTATCAAGCAGTTTTAGGGTGATAACTTTTCCATTGTATACATACAGCTTGTTATCACTGTTGCCTGTCACTAAGACTGTGATGTCACATCATACTTTTCTGTTCTGCTGCATACCCTTAAATAAAGAATTAAAAAAAATCCCAAAATGAAATATTTAAAGGGGGAAAAATAAAAAGCTTACAATAATATGGTTGCACAAATATGCACACCCTTAAACTAATACTTGTTGAACTAATATTTTGTTTTTGAAAGAAAAGGGTGAGGGATGCCTATTTACACTTAGGAAAAGGGTTTAAGGTGATGTACTGGCTTATTGTGGGAAAATGTATCAGAATTGAAAACATATTGACTGAACAATCTAGAGAATGTACATAAAAGGTCTGCGGGATGAAGCACGCTCAATCTGTCCCTGAAGACGCTGGAAGAGCGAAACATGTAGGGCAGGATTGGTTTTGGAGTGGAGTCATCCCACATGGAGAGCATGTCCTGCTTGCAGCTTGCTGTTGTGTGTTGCTGGAGTTAGCAGTGCTACTGAATACATGTGATATAAAGCTTAGTATTGGGGCAAGACACATCTAAATGTAGGTGCATTTTGTTTTGAATGGTTTTATTTGAATAAAAGGATTTTACACTTTGCAGCACCTGTTTGCTCTCTGTGCATGGTCCCGAGGAAAGAGAAGGTGGATTTGAAGAGGAGAATGGCCTGAGTGAACCCATTATTGAATGGATTAAACAGATTGTAATACATGACACAAAACTAAAGTTTGCTGCTAACGTTTATAAGTAGCTATTGCTTGTGGTGGAGGAGATCACAAAGTGGACACAGATTGGAGGAAAGATTTTTGGAATACAAACATTTTCTCCTGGATGAACTTTGTGTGCACATGGATTTTGTTGCTCCTGAGCTTGTTAATTTACTGTATATGGGACACTTTACACATTGGAATGCACTGGACGTTGAATATGTGAATAATTGAATACATGAATGTGATTGCACAGGGCACTTTAATATAGGTAATTATAGCACTGGATACTTTATACATTTTTTTCATGCAATGTTTTTATTTTTGCATGTTATTTGTAATATTTGCACATTGTTTTTCATTTTTTTGGGGACACTTTGGGCTATTTATGTTTTTTTTTTTTTTGCACAAATTTCATGGAATTTCACTGTGTATTATATAGTTGTGTGGCAGCACCCAAATATTGCAGAGTTCCCCTTTAAGCTTTAAGGTTTCTAAAGCTTCTGTTTGCAGAAGTAAGCTATCAGTTCGCTTTCTCCCCCTCATTTCCTGTGAAACAGTCTGTTCTAGTTTAGCAGCTGACACCCTGAACTTTCAGTTGGTGATAGTTCAGCAAAATGTGAAACAGCAAAAGGCTATATCCTGTATACTGCTTAAAATGTATTTCAAAGGTACAAGAAAAGTTAAGAGGAAATACATGCATTGTGCCGTAATCATTGGTATATACATATGTAAGATTCTGTTACAACTTACTTAGCTTGCTGGTATGAGCTGCTTGCTAGGTCACTTAGTGCTGATTAATAAACAACTTGTTTTAGGGTCCTGTCCAAGGCAGAAGTTCTAGAAGATCTGGCATTTCTGCCAGTACTCTGCATGGCCGCAGAAGCACACATCAGCCTCAGTTTGGTGCCAGATGGCCTTTATAAGGAGGCTCATCACTTCCTCAAGTTGCTGGATGATCTCTAGCTCTCCGTGCCCTGTTTCCTGTGATTTTCTGTTACCGACTCAGCTTGCTCCTGGACCTGTCTACTCTGCTTTACCCTTGATCTGACCTCGGCTTGGCTTACGGATACTCTCTCTTGCTCCTCTGTGTATGACCTTGGCTATCCCAGCTGACTACGTCTGCTCTGATTCCCACCTGGTACCTGACCATGGCTTGAACCGACTACCCAGTAAACATCTAAATCTTGGAAGGGCTTACATACCATGCACAGGCGCCTCCTGTCTGCAGACCTATCTCCGTGCACCAGCTGTGCTTCAAAGTGGACCACCAACCAGCAATTCTACAGGTGACCTGTGCAACTTTGGGCCTGACTCCCGCTGTCCTACTCTCAGGGGAGTCCGGAACTTAGCCGCAAGGGAAGCCCTCTCTCCATTGGCCTCTATCACCAGGTACGTGATAACTTGTTTTCCTCAAGTTCGTGTCCGGAGTTTTTCCTGGTATTCCTAAAATTGCTACTACAGTTGGGTATTGCTAAAAGGGGATAGCATATTTACCATTTAAAGGTTCCATTTTGAGAGCTTTTTAGTGGCAGCAGCTTTCCCTTTTTCAAATATTTGTTTATATATAATTTAGATTTTATTGTGGCACAGGCTTTTGGTAAGCAGGTAATTTTTTATGTTGTTCTTGAAGATAGATTTTACCCTATATGGCTGTAATGTGAATGTCTGCACCTCTATAGGGTTTCATCTCTGAAGTTTCAATCATCAAAACAGGCAAAAATGTTTTAGGGTATCAGGGTTTAAAGTGTCCCTAATCTGTGGAGTACTAGTTTTAAAATATGTAATTATTTGAATTCCCTTGCACAGTATGGGTATTATTGCTCTCAAGATGGCATGTAATGCACTGTTTGTATTTACACTTGAACTCTTTAACCACTTGCCCTCCAGAGGATTTAGACATAGACACACAGCGCAGCTTGGTCCTGCCCCTCTCTCGCTCCTCACAGGATTTAAGTCTCCTGTAAGACTAGAAAGAGGGGAGAGAAGCTAGTTTGAGAGAGGACTCCAATAAATGTTTGGGGGGAGGGGGTTCACAACAAGTGGTGAAATATTTTTAACCCTGATGCAGGGAATGAATTACATTTAAATTGTTGACTTTAGAACCACTTTAACCCCTTGTCCTCCTGAGGATTTACCCCCCTTCCTGACCAGGCCATTTTTTGCGATAAGGCGCTGCGTTACTTTTACTGACAATTTGCGGTCATGCAATGCTGCACCCAAATGAAATCTATGTCCTTTATTCCCCACAAATAGAGCTTTCTTTTGGTGGTATTTGATCGCCTGTGCATTTTTTATTTTTTGTGCTATAAACAAAAAAAATACCAACAATTTTGAGAAAAAAACAATATTTTTGACTTTTTGCTATTAAACATGTCCAGTAAAAAAAAAAAAAAAATCCAATTTCGTCATAAATTTAGGCCAAAATGTATTCTGCGACATGTCTTTGCTAAAAAAAAATCCCAATACATGTAAATTAATTGGTTTATGTGAAAGTTATAGCGTTTACAAATGGCGGTATATATACTTTAATTTTTACTGGTAATGGCAGCTATCAGTGCCTTATAGCGGGACTACGGGGGGCATTCTGACACTGGGGGAAACTGACTTGGTTTCACTGATATCCCCAGTGACACCAATACAGTGATCAGTGCTAATAAAAAGCACTGACACTGTACTAATAGCACTGGGCAGGAAGGGATTAACATCTGGGGCAATCAAAGGGTTAACTGTGTGCAGTTTCACTACTTGGGCTGTGTATTTGCTTCACTGTAAGCACACTGCTTTGTACACTGCTTTATACACAGGTGTCCCCCCTGTCGGGGATACTCAGCAATCACCGGGTGCCAGTGAGTAATCACCTGCTGGGACCCAGTGATTGAGGCCGCAAATGGCAGTGTGGGTAGGGCGCACGTGTAGCTCGCTCACGCCCCCTACCCAGAAATGCAAAATCACACATCCCTGCCGCCCTGTAGCAGTATTTCTGCTATAGGGAGGAGGGTTTAATACCCCTCTGCAGTTCTTTTTGAGCCTTCCTGTAGGCCAACAAGTCATCTGGTCTAACCGCTTACTAACGGTGTGTCACGGCTGGGCTGGATCACGTACATGTACGTGATCCAGTTCCTCTAAGTATAGGGCTCCCCCACCCCATCTGTGCTGTGATTCGCTACAGCACAAGTTTTGCAGCAGGTCCATAATTTATGGCCAGGACTTGCTGATCGACTATGCCCAATCACAGCACAGGTTCCACTGATTACAAACAACACAGGGTTCTGTACACAGAGCAGCGATGTGGCTGTCGTCTTCCTGAAAAACAGCCACGTCTAACCATCACATATTACACACATTGTTAGGCACACAGTTAACACTTTTATTGCCCCTAGATGTTAACCGCTTCCCGCTCAGTGTCATTATTACAGTGACAGTGTACAGTATAACCACTGATCACTGTATTAGTGTCACTATTGATGTCAGTTAGTGTACCTCCCAGCCAGTACCAGCTAGTGCACGATTGCCTACCTTTTCCATGCAGCCATAGCTTTTGATTTGGAAATATGGTTTAGGTTGGTTAGTAAATCTCAGTACAGAAATGTACAGTGCCTTGAAAAAGTATTCATACCCCTTGACATTTTCCACATTTTGAAACGTTACAACCAAAAACGTAAATGTGTTTTATTGGGATTTTATGTGATAGACCAACACAAAGTGGCACATAATTGTGAAGTGGAAGGAAAATGATAAATGGTAGGAAGAAAAATGATAACTTTTTTTGCAAATAAACATGTAAAAAGTGTGGTGTCCATTTGTATTCAGCCCCCCCGAGTCAATACTTTGTAGAACCACCTTTCACTGCAATTACAGCTGCAATCATTTGGGGATGTCTCTACCAGCTTTGCACATCTAGAGAGGGACATTTTTGCCCATTCTTTTTTGTAAAATAGCTCAAGCTCTCTCAGATTGGATGGAGAGCATCTGTGAACAGCAATTTTCAAGTCTTGCCACAGATTCTCAGTTGGATTTAGGTCTGTACTTTGACTGGGCGATTCTAACACAAGAATATGCTTTGATCTAAACCATCCCATTGTAGCTCTGGCTGTATTTTTAGGGTCGTTGTCCTGCTGAAAGGTGAACCTCCGCCCCAGTCTCAAGTCTTTTGCAGACTCTTTTTTTTCTTCCAAGATTGCCCTGTATTTGGCTGCATCCATCTGCCGTCAACTCTGACCAGCTTCCCTGTCTCTGCTAAAGAAAAGCATCCCCACAACGATGCTGCCGCCACCATGTTTCACGGTGTGGATATTGTGTTCAGGGTGATGTGCGGTGTTAGCTTTCCTCTACAGTGTTTTGCTTTTAGGCCAAAAAGTTCAATTTTGGTCTCATCTGACCAGACCACCTTCTTCCACATGTTTGCTGTGTCCCCCACATAGCTTCTCACAAACTGCAAATGGGACTTCTTATGGCTTTCTTTCAATAATGGCTTTCTTCTTGCCACTCTTCCTTAAAGGCCAGATTTGTGGAGTGCACAACTAAGAGATGTCCTGTGGAAAGATTCTCCCACCTGAGCTGCGGATCTCTGCAGCTCCTTTAGAGTTACCATGGGCCTCTTGGCTGCTTCTCTGATTAATGGTCTCCTTGCCCAGCCTATCAGTCTATGTGGACAGCAATGTCTTGGTAGGTTTGCAGTTGTGCCATACTCTTTCCATTTTCGGATGATGCATTGAACAGTGCTCTGTGAGATGTTCAAAGCTTGGGATATTTCTTTATAACCTAACCCTGCTTTAAACTTCTCCACAACTTTATCCCTTACCTGTCTGGTGTGTTCCTTGGCCTTCATGATGCTGTTTGTTTACTAATGTTCTTTAACAAACCTCTGAGGGCTTTACAGAACAGTTGTATTTATACTCAGATTAAATTACACAGAGGTGGACTCTATTCACTAATTAGGTGACTTCTGAAGGCAATTGGTTCCACTAGATTTTAGTTAGGGGTGTCAGAAGAAAAGGGGGTAAATACAAATGCACGCCACACTTTTCAGATATTTGTAAAAAAAGTTTGAAAACCATTTTCATTCCACTTCACAATTATGTGCCACTTTGTGTTGATCTATCACATAAAATCCCAATAAAACACATTTACGTTTTTGGTTGTAACATGACAAAATGTGTAAACTTTCAAGGGGTATGAATGCTTTTTCAAGGCACTGTACATAGCCAAAACACATTAGTTATATTAAAAACATGCAGCGCTACAATTGGTTAATATAAAGTAACATATAAGGTGATCCGTGATGAACTACTAGTGCTTAGTAGTGATTTAAGTGTCCTCATAACATAATGCAATAGTCCCAATAAACCGTGCAAACCGTGGTTGACTCCGTGCTGAAAGGTGTCTAATATTATGCACTCACCAGAAAGCGCATAATATGCGCATTTGAGTTGTCAGACCACTCCTGGTCCTAGAAAGTTGAACCTATGTGGATCATCTGGCAAGCTGTCACTCTGATGAGAATAAACTTTTCCTTGGCCAGCAGGGGGATTCCCGACATCCAGAGACCTTTAATAGCATTGATCCAGGTTCCTCACCCAGGGCACTCATATGAAGTATCCACCTTAAGAGAGGGGGGGCTTGACCAAAAAGCCCACCCCAAAAAACACCGATAGTGTAGTACGTTTCAAAAAAAAATCCTTTATTGCAGAGTAAAAAGACAGGTCACTCACAGGGTTTCCCAGAGTCAAAGATGGCCGCCGGCCTCCATGAGGTACGGAACGGCGTGACGTCACCGGCTAGGCTCCACCCTGACGCGTTTCGTGCGGACGAGCACGTTATCAAAGGGAGCGAGCACTAGCCGGACAAACTTATATATACTGTTTCCCGCGCATGCGCGGTGAAACGAAAAAGCCGGTGACGCCATTTTGGCCCGCTCGCGCATGCGCGAAGCATACGATAGCGGCCATTTTCTTGGTTATCGCGGCTCAGGGTTGGCGATCATTATGCATTTATGTGAATCCATCTCACCTGCACTCCTATATCAAAGACAAGTATACAGGAGACGGAAAACCATCCAAATTACAATGTATACTGGCCATAAGGAGTGTTATATATATTATTAAACTGTCCCTGACTCCCTTGTAATGGAGTTTAGTACAGGTGCAGTCAAATTTGCTGAATAAAGGCTAATTACATAGCACTTATTGCACTTCCCTATAGATATATTTAAATATAGCCAGACATCAATGAAATTAAGAAAAATAATTCATAAATACTAGAAACCATGCCTAAAAACAACCCCCTGAGCCAGGATAATTCACACTTCACATAATATAAAAACCTTATATAAGCCATATGTGTAAAATATATAAACATATAAGTATATGCATTTAGGTAAATAAAAATTAAAACGTAATTAAAAACTTATCAACTTGTATCAATAAAACAATTAATGTCAAGGTCTACATTCAAGCCTTGCGGGAAAAAGGACTGTAACTCATAAATCCACTTTGTTTCCAGTTTGGAAACCGATCTCTTTTTGTAAGTGCCCCTCCAGTGTGGTTTCACAATGTCTATCGCAACAAATTTCAAGCATTTAGGATTATTATCGTGGCACAACCGATAATGTAAAGATAATGAATGGTCCTTAAAACCTTTTTTAATATTTTTTAGGTGCTCACGCAGTCTATCCCGTAACCTTCTTGTAGTCCTCCCAACATATTGTTTCCCACAGCCGCACTCTAATAGGTAAACAACGTATGTACTATTACAGGTGATGGTATTTTTAATTTCATAGGTTCTGTTGGTGATATTGGAGGCAAAGGTTTTCACCGGTCTCTTGTGTGTGCCATTATCAACACAGATCATGCACCTATTACAAGGATAAAAACCTTTATGCCCAAAATTAAATGTTACAGTTTTTGGGGGGTTCACAATGTTGGGGGCTAAAGACAACCTAAGGGGTGGTGCTCTCCGGAAGATAATCTCCGGGCGGTCAGGTAGTTCTTTTCCCAATATTGGGTCATTCAAAAGGATGGACCAGTTTTTCTTAATTATTTTGAAAACGTCTTTATATTGGGTATTAAAATTTGTAATAAAGGGACAGACAATGTTATTATTGGCAGCTATAGTGGGCTTGAGTAATTCATTCCTATCTTTATTTTGTACTTCCTTTATTGCTTTGGTCAAGAAAGGTTCATCATACCCTTTTTCCAAGAACCTTTCTTTTAAAATTATAGACTGTCTGTGAAAATCCTCAATATTGTCACAATTTCTTTTTATCCGAAGAAATTGGCCTTTCGGAATATTCATCAACCATTTTGGGTGATGGCAACTATCAAGTGGAATAAAACTATTCCGGTCCGTTTCTTTAAAGAATGTTTTAGTTAGAATATCCATATCTGATACAAAAAGAGTAAGATCTAAAAAATCGATTTGTTTAAGATCATACTGATAAGAAAGTTTAATATTTAATTCATTAAAATTTAATGTAATAAAAAAATTCTTAAGAGTGAATTCATCCCCCTGCCACAATAAGAACACATCATCAATGTACCTCCGATAAAACAAAAGGTTAGGCCATTCCCTAGAGTAGATGAGATCTTCCTCCCATCTGGCCATAAATAAATTTGCCAGACTTGGGGCAAACTTGGCGCCCATAGCGACACCAGTAGTTTGTAAATAAAATTCATTCCCAAACCAAAAATAATTGTGTGTCATGGCAAATTCAAGAAGGTCCAAAATAAATGTTCTTTGTATTATAGGGATGTCTGTGGCCATATTAAGATAAAAATCTGCTGCCGCCATTCCATCATCATGTTTGATATTACTATAAAGTGCTGACACATCTGCTGTGACCAAATAAGTAGGGGAATTCAATTTAATAGTTTTAATGTCTACAAGCATTTGTTTTGTGTCTCTTAGAAATGCTGGTGTCTTGGCCACCAGGGGCTGCAAAAAATGATCGATGTATTCACCAATCCTTGAGCTTAGAGAGCCAATGCCACTCACTATAGGTCTCCCCGGGGGGTTAGTCAGATCTTTATGTATCTTAGGCAAGCAATATAGGACTGGTAATTTGGGTGAGATAGGGCACAAATAATCTTTTTCTTTTTTGGTTAAAATGCCCATATCATAACCTTTGTTAATGATACTCCTCAATGATCTTTTATAGGGGACCAGAGGGTTTCGATCAAGAGTTTGATAAGTATTCTTATCATTTAAGATAAGATATACCTGCTTAACATAGTCAGTCTTGTCCATAATAACTATCCCCCCCCCTTTATCGGCTGGGCGCACTACCAGATCTTTTTCTTCAAGTAATGATTTTACCAGGGAATCTCTGTGTTTATAGTTGTCTCTATTTCTGACCTTAATTTTTTCTAGGTCTTTTAAAACTAAACTTTTAAAAACATTAACATACGAATGAGCTGGGGGGTTGAACAGAGAGGCATTCTTAAGGCCTGAATGTTTAAAAGTACTAGTGGCAGAGTTAGAGGAAATACTTGTGGGAGGGGCATTCAGAAAATATCTTTTCATAGCTAGTTTCCTCATAAATTTATGAATGTCAATATATGTGTCAAATTTGTTAAGTTTAGCTCTTGGGGCAAATTTCAGCCCTTTATTCAGGAGGTCTACTTCATTCTCAGTTAATTCTTGTTTACTTAAATTAAAGATACCTTTAGAGTTTAAGTCTTTCTTTTTTT